TTTAATGATCCTGAAGATAATTAGCTAGGGTTACAGCAGGACCTGCAGTCCTTGCTCAGACCCAGCTCTGTCACTAGGATTCAGACTACAAGATGTAGAATGACCTTTTATAAAATGACAAAATGTATAAAGGCCCCAAATGGACTTTCAAGTCTCACAGCAGTATTAATTATAAAATTTGTGCCTTATTAGGAGAAGATCTGGTCCTCAGTGGGCTCTCTATAAGCCAACATAGAGCCCTCTCAACAAAGCAGCTCCATCCCATCCTACCTGGGAACATCCTACATTGAGACACAACCAGGATCCTTCATCCCCCAGGAGAGAACATCACTGGGTATGCAGTCAGGATGGAGAAGGAGCACCTCAGAGGTCTGTCCGTGCTCTCCAGGCTGTCCCTGAGTCTCACATGTGGATTTGGTTAGGTTGGATGGAGACCTCCCTGCGGGGAGCACTACCCCCGAACGCAGCAGTCCCATTCAGGCAGAGCAAGTCACGTCTCCATTGTCCTCTCCCTTTGAGGGCTCTGGGGTCCCAGATGCTCCAGCACAGCATGGTTTGCTGCGTCCCAGCACACACACTGCACTGCTCACCACACCGAGAACACCCCACGGGTGGATGTCCTCAAGGTGGGTGTCAGCACCTCCCCCTCCCCCTTTGGAAAATATACCAAGCTTTGCCATGAAGTGTTAAGCTCAATGCCCAGAAGGTGTCCAGGGAGATGATTTGAGGGAGTAGGAAGAGCTCCTCTTTGAAACAAGACCAGGTTTCACAAACTCGTATCGTGACACAGGTCCTACATTTGGCCTTTATATTCTTTGATGTGGCCCTGTTTGGCTTTGATGCTCTTGGGGCCAGATCATCAGAAAGTTCTCTTGCACTGAGATATCAGGTTAAAGTGCTGGTTCATCACTTTGTCTTGTTATACCAGATGTTTTACTCCCATTTTCTATTTCTGGACCTCGGATACATCCGCCTGTGTTTCCTGAGCTCTTCAAGTGTCCATTACTCATCCGGTCTTCCCCACATCTTAACAACATCAATGCTCCTACACAGTAACTGTGACAAAGCCCCGTCCAAAAACCTCCCCTCTCTCAAAATGTTGTTGCATAATTTTGTGTCTGAAAGCAACAGCTAATTGCTTCCTTTCTTTGCTCATTCCCTAAATAAGACCCTGCAACTCTTCCTTACGTGCGGCCTCCCAGTGCTTATCAAGAGAATCTGATGCTCCAGCATGTACAAAGTTCCCAGCCAAAGACCTGTTCTGGGGACTCCCTGCCCAGTTCTGTTCATCCCAGAGTGATCAAATGAGGAAACTGTACACGTCTCTTCCAAGGGGCACGCTTATTTGCATGGTAATGAGGATGGTAATGAGCCCCTTGTCTTCAGATGTACACAAGGTTCTAGCGGGGGAAAAACAGCCAAAGTTGAGATTCAGGGAATTTGGGGCTTGGGGGTTTTTTTGGTTTTTTTTTTTTTCTTTTCAACTTGTCTATTTTATCTGGATGCAAAAGACAAACCATGTAGTACAGAAACTGCATTGTGCAATGAACTGCTAAACACCAGATATAAATTATTATTTCAACAACAAACAGGCTGTTTAAGCAAGCACCAATCTCTTAAGTAGCCTGGCTCAAGCAGTAATTACTAGTCTCATTTCTAAGGAGACCCTTCTTTTATTTGCTTTGTTACCATAGCTTTTTGTTTTCTTTTCCTCTCTGTTAAAGTTAAAAAATGCTACATAAAGTTGCAGCTCCTCTGAGAACCCGGCGCGCACTGCGAACAGGGTTCACAACAGCACTGTGAAAGAGATTATGATAATTAGCTCCATTCTCCAGTGGGGAAACTGAGGTATGGAACCTCTCCCCAACAAGGCTATGAGTAGGATTACATGATTATTGAGCTCCTTCACCTGTTTTAGACCCAAACGCTCACACTGAGCTATGGCAAGGCCAAGCTGGGACAATGCAATGTCTTAGGGCTGAGAGCCGGGGATCCTTTGCAGACAGCACAGGGCTCTGGGTAGAGGCTGGTTCCCTGAAGGATGGAGAGGAAGACAGTTGGGGCAGGAAAACAGACCCACTCAATATTGATAAACCTGAGACTGAGGAAAGGAATTGATGCCACAGCTTGGAAACCCGCTGCTGGTCCACATTGCCCAAAGCATCGGATGGTGCCTGTAGGTCCAGGGTGGTGGGCTGGGGGCAGGGTGAGAAAGGAGGAAGGGTCAAAGCTGTGGTCGGATGGAGAATGGAGAAGATGATACTGGTGGTGCAAAGGGGACTGTCCTCAGCACCACTGAGGTGTTTAAAAGCTCCTAGCTAAACATTCAGGGGTGGTGTTTCTATCGTGGTTAGGAATGGATGTTGTGATTCAAGCAGCCTAGCACCAACCTATAAAGCTCACCACTGTCCCAGAAGGAAAAAAAAAAAACAAAAACCTTTAATGAAAAAAAAAAACAAGGTGGGGCCATTGTCTCTGCAGACCACTAACTCTGGTGTCCATGGTTCAAAGCCATGGGCTACCACACCAGTGGCTGCTCATTAAACTGCAAATACCATGAGCTCCATGAAGCCCTGTGGTGTTTTGGCTCAGGCAGAGTTAATTTTCTTCATAGTAGGTATGAAAAATATTAACATTTTGGGGCTGTGTTTTGGATTTGTGCTGAAAACAGTGTGGATAACACAGGGATGGTTTCATTATCGCTGAGCAGGGCTTACACAGGGTCAAGGACTTTTCTGCCGCTCACCCCATCAGTGAGTGGGCTGGGGGTGCCCAAGGAGTTGGGAGGGGACACAGCTGGGACAGCTGACCCCAACTGATCCAAGGGGTACCCCAGCCCACATGACATCATGCTCAGCACATAAAGATAAGGGAAGAAGAAGGAAGAGGGGGACATTTGGAGGGGTGGTGTCTGTCTTCCCAAGCCACTGTTACGTGTGATGGAGCCTGCCTTTCCTGGAGATGGCTGAACCCTGCCTGCCGATGGGAAGTGGGGAATTAATTCCTTCTTTTGCTTTGTTGGCATGCGCAGTTTTCTCACTTTTACTCTTCTGATTCTCTCCCTCATCCCACTGGGCAGAGTGAGCAAGCGGCTGGGTGGGGCTTGGTTGCCAGCTGGGGTTAAACCATGACAAGGCCTCAGGTCTTTCCAGCACAGAGACATCAGTTCTGTTTACTGTCCTTAATCAATGCCTCCTTCAGCACACACTGAGAGCCAGCTTGTACTCCAGCCCTACGACTTGGGCTGGCCTGCGGCAGATATTTAAGCTGCATGGCTGCATCTGTGCTTTCCCTGCCTAACCATCAGAAAACGCTGGGATCTGTCTTTCTTCTCCCACGTCCCCATGAAGGATTAGTCCACGTACCTAATACTGAGTCCAAGTGTAATTTCTCCACTTTTTTAGGGATGGGTATACGAAAGCTTTGCGGGAACCAGTGCTCTGGGTTTCCTGAATGATGGTTTTTCTCCAGCAAACAGCTTGGGGAGCTTTTATGTAGTGTCAGTCCCGAATTTCTGGCTTCTGGCACTTGTTTTACTGTTTTGACACCAGGGTTTTAAGCACAGGGAAAATAATAATGATATCCAGAGCTAATGTTATTTACTAAAATACAAATTAACGCTCAGTCACATGGCGGCACAATTTGTCATCCAGAGCTAAAATTAAAAGAAATTAAGACTTGAGTCAGAAAGTTATTTCAGATCTGAGTGGGGAATGCTAAGTGATGGCGCCATGTGGGAGCAACACTGACATCTTCTGGCTGCAAAAAACCCCCTCCAGCTTTTTCGCCAGGAAAACAGTGGGAACCTCCAGCACAAAAGCAGAAATAGGGGTTGGGGTGGACAAAAAAGTTTTCAGGTAGTAGGTACAATCTTGGAGTTATATATTATTATGGATCGTGGATATTATCGGATATTATCGGACCCCCCACTTTAAGAGTCCCCCTTAGCATCACTGCAAAATTTGAACAGAGAGTGTGTGACACTGATGACCCAAAATCCACGAGTGTAGGAGGGGAAGAGGTGTTGCTCTTCCATCAGTGAAGGGGACAGGGCTGTACCCATCCTTTTACATTGCAGTGTTGAACTGTGCAGTGCAACACGTAGGAAGAGTCAGGTACCAAGAACTGGTCCATGCAAACCAGTCGAGCAACAATTTTCTCTGTCTGATCTGGAATGGGAGAGGGCCTGGCTGCCTTGTGCTGATAAACCAGGGAGTCCTGGGGGACCACTGAACCTGTTCCCCAAAATTATGCCCTCAGCCCCTGCTATAGGGTCTCAGAAAGCAGCCAACGACACCACCCCTACCCACCCCCTGCCAGGTGTGTCAGATATCTCTTGGGTACAAGTGTCCTGCATCAATTCATAGCAGGATGGCTGAACCACAGTGAGGTAAATAGATTTAGCCCTGGGGTTGTCGGGTCCTGTGCGACAGCTTTCTCCTCTGGAGTGGCTCCTCTTCAAAACATGGTGCATGCTAGATGG